GCTTTTACAGGTGATTGGAGAAAATAAGAAAAGAAAGTGGCTCACTCACACAGAAGCATGCCAATAGAGGGAAGGAACAAAAGACAAGGGAGCTGTGGGGACTGGGAGAATGAGGAGGATGCTTGATAGAAAAACCTCCCATAGTCATAACAGCTGTTATTGAGTATTTGTGCACAGTAGGCAGACAGTATTATATCCCAACAACACCACCCCCACCGGGAACTCCATTGTTCCTCTTTTCTGGGCAAGGAAACTAAGTCACCAAGGAAGCCAAAATGGGTTAACTTCTGAAAGATTACCCAGGAAATAGCCTACCACCAAGAGGCAAACCCACTGGCTGTCTGAAGCTGCAACCTGGCTCTCAACCACGCTGCCACTTGTTCCACCACAGCCCAGGAACTCTGATCTGCTCATTGTTGGATTCAACCCATGATTTGTGGCAAGGCTCATAGCTTCACCTCCAAAAGAGAAAATGCACACCCTAGGGAACATTTTGTTTTTCTGGAAACTACATTTGTTTGAAAAGCATAGCACAGTGAAGCATATAGCTCAAACACAATAGTCAGAAGTTGGGGAGCAAGAAACAAGGGAAAAGGTAAGCAAATAATAGCAACAAACAATGGGACTCACAAAACTGGAGTTTAGTAAGTCACCGGCCAGGGGTTTAAGGGGAGGTTTCAACTGTATTGGGTTTGATATGAGGACATTTCCTGCCATGGGACAGCAAGGGAACCAGCTTCAAATGTGCCCACTGAATCTTCAAGTTCCGGAGAACTGGACTAAGGGATGACCATGGTATGGGAAGGGCAGGAGCAATCTGCTTATTCGGGAAGCCTTCACTGTCTCCATACCACCTCAAAGTTGGGACACTGCTTTCAACTTCTGCAGACCATGGTGCCATCGTGAAATTCCCCTTCTCAAACAAATAAAATGAAATAATAGCTTGTTAAGAGATTGATTTTTGAAAAGATTTATTTTATTTTTATTGCGAAGTCAGATATACAGAGAGGAGGAAAGACAGAAAGAAAGAACTTCCATCTGATGATTCACTCCCCAAGTGATTGCAACGGCCGGTGCTGTGTCAATCCAAAGCCAGGAGCCAGGAACCTCCTCCAAGTCTCCCACACGAGTACAGGGTCCCAAGGCTTTGGACCATCCTCGACTGCTTTCCCAGGCCACAAGCAGAAAGCTGCATGGGAAGCAGGGACACTTGGATTAGAACCGGCGCCCAAATGGAATCCTGTTGGGTGCAAGGCAAGGACTTTAGCTGGAAAGGCAGAGTTGCAGAAAGGAGAGACAGATAGAGAGAGATTTTCCATCTGCTTCATTCTGCAAACAGCCACAAATTTGGGAAATGGGCCATTGATACTGTAATAACAAATAAAAAATGCATACATGAATACAAAAAGGCATTCAAAAGCTTCATGTTATCACCAATAAAATCATCAGTAATAATGAAGTCATTAGTTTAATAACATGCCCACTGATGGATCCTTACTTTTAAATATCCACTTTTAAACATGCGCAAACGTCAGAAAGTACGTGTCATTCCAGCAGGTGGCAGTAGCAGCATACCAAATCTCTCACAAAAGCAAGGAACTTAGTGGAGTCCTCAAAACAAAGAAGAAAAAAGAAAAGGGCAACCTTATAAGTTTAAAAATTTAAGTATAATAAAGATGAATACGTTGGAAAATAAGCTGTAATTGTTGCTCTGGCCAAGCTGTTGAAGCCGCCACCCGCGGTGTTGTCGTCCGTGGGGACGCCAATTCAATGTGTATCTGTCAAAGCTGCGTTTTCAAGTATAAACTCCATCACACCTGTTCTACAATTACTGCCCAGTTTTTTAAAGTAAGAATGCATGTTGTTGAATAGGGCTTTTAAGTTGTTCTCAACTTGGAGGGGTTTAAATCTTTGTTATCATTTTACCACTTCAAAGAAAGCAACATGAATATCTGCAAACATACAATTGTTCACAAATGTAGCATTTGGAATAGCCTATCGAAGCATCTCATCTGAAGGTAATTTTGGTCAATGTCTGTAGGTAGAGCAGACGTGATACTGGTGTTTTTATGGGAAGAAGCCAGGCAAGATGCTGAGCAGCCTACAGCCAAAGGACAGCTCCGTGCAACACAGATTTCTGCAAACCAAAATGTTAACAATGGGCCTGAGAAGCCCTGTAGTATACAGTCAGAAATATATTTAATTTCAAGAGCCAGAAAGTTATTAAGGAACCTTAATACAAAGTAACCTTAATACAAATAATTAACTCACTTTAAGAATTAAGATATAGAGATATTATCGACATAACAAAATGATCATTATACATGTATTAGTGGGAAAGTATTATACAGCAACATGGTCTTTATGTTTCCCCATAAAACATACATTCAATGTATACATTGTATAAGACAATATTGGCACTGAAGCTTTCCAGAAAGCTCTCTTGGTGATTTCCAAGTATCTGTCTTAAAAACTGACTACACCTGGACTGATTTTTTTGCTACAAGTTTTTCTTTTCAAAGTAGTTTTTTCATACTCAAGATTTAGTTACTACAAAAGCTTTATTTACTTTGCATAAATTTTTGTTCCTGGTAAAATGAAAATTCACTTTACATCAGTACATGATATTTGCATCTTAGTTTGTATGGTAATATTGCAAGTAGGATTTCTTTTTTAAAGGGAAAATTTGGGACATTTTTTAAGGAGCTAATACAGAATATTCAAATTATTGAACATAAAATACAGAAATGGTAATTAAGATTAACTTTATTGATTTCTTTATATTGGAGAACTCAGTGTAAAGTTAAAGTTTAATATTTGGGCTGGAAAATTAGACAAAGTATTTTCCCATCCACATTAATATTTTATATGGAGTGAGGTTTCTACAAATAAAGAGGATTATTCATACTAGTTCTTTGATATTTTTTGGTCTTCATTCCAGAATTTTGCCCTTTGGAGTTATAAGGTAACTGGCCATGGCAGCTATGTCTGTTTGCTTTTCATGAATAGCTTGAGAGGGAGAAGCCTTATTTAATCAAAGGTATTACTTGTCAGTGTGAACATCGTTCAGGACCTGATCCCACATCTGGATGGAGGAGTTTCTGCCAGCAGTGTGTTGTGAACTGACAAGTCTGGAGTGGAGTTTGCAGTATCTTCTAAACAACAACATGATTGTTTAGAATTGTAACACGTGCATACTGAAGTTCTGTTGAATTGGCCTGAAGTGAGTGGATAACGCCTATCAGCCTTTCATGCCAGGTAGCAAACATCATCTTTGGCATTCATGAAATGTAATAACTGCGAGTTTGAAGTACACACACACACACACACACACACACACACACACACACACAGAGCAGGGCTGGACATTGAGTGCAGCAGTGAAGAGACTGCTCAGGACACCTGCATCCCAGCTCCATATCCAACTCCAGCTTTCTCTATTGTGCACCCTGGGACACAGCAGGTGACACTTCAGCACGTGCCAGCCATCTGAGAGACCTGCACTGAGCACTGAGCTCCTGTCTTCAGCTGTGCTCAAGCCTGCCTGTTGCTGATATCTGGGAGTGAAGCAGTCAATGCAAGACCTGCCCCACGCTGAACCCCTTCTCCTACTGTCTCTCTTTCTCCCCCTCTCTCTCTCTCCTCTCTTTGCATTGCAAATAATTAGTAATCAATCAATAATATTTTTGAGCATTTATTTGAAAAGCAGAGCAAAGGAAAGAAAGAGTGAGAGCAAGAGAAAGACAGAGAATTTCAATGCATTACTTCACTCCCCAAAGAGCCCCAAAAGTTAGGACTAGCATAAAAAAGAATTAAATCTTGTCATTTTCAACAAATGAATGCAATTGAAAACCATTATTCTTAGTGAAATAAACCAGCCTCAAAAGGATAAATATATGTTTTCTCTGAAATGTGGTAGTTAACAGAGAATAGAGGAAAAAAAATGTAACAGATCTCTTGTGATAAGATTGTTTTTAGCCTGTTTGCCTGGCTGTAACCTGGGGTCTTCCTACTTTCCACTTGTTGACTGTTATAATTAGTGGTAAATTAAATCTGTGGTTACAAAGTAGAGAAAAATTATGTTCTTGCAAAAAATAAAGAAAAAACAAGAAAGGAAGGGTGGGAATTAGAGAAGTACTACATTGTTATCTTCTTAAAAGTATACCAAGAAAATACAAGGAATCTATTCTCTTTTTGTTAATAATTTTTTTTAAGAATTGGGATTGGGTCACACCAAGACCAGGAACCAGGATCTCCATTGGATTTCCCATATGGAAGACAAGGACTCAGCTAATTGGGTCATTGAGTATTAGCAGGCTTGGTAGGAAGTGTCAGTTTGATATAAGATAAGGACAATACAACCAGTAGCACTACAATGTCTGTCGCAGGCAGCAACTAGAAACAAAACAAACAAAACAAAACAAAACCTAGCAACTAAATCAATGAGATAATGCTTGGGAAATTTACCATATTTAATATTGTGCTTAAATTTTGATTAATAATTAAATTCATTACTCAGAATGTCTAGAATGACTAAACTCATGTGTAATTTCTCATATTGTTGTTTTTCTATTTCTATCTAAATTGTGATAGTAAGTACCATAAATCATGATCATTTGATATTGAAAAGTGTCAGGTTCAATTTATTTCCGGCGTGCTTTGTTTCTCATTGTGACACATTTGACACTTCGACACCACAATTCAGTTTATTAAATGCAAAGCAGTCTCAAGAACACAAGTAAAATTTGTGAAACAGAAACTTCTATTTGCATCTTAACAAATTGCAGGCAGACATTCCATCTGGACACACAGCCTCCTGACTAGCCAAGTTGTATACAACTGGAGAAATCGTCATGAAAATACTTCTGGCATCATCGTAAGATATTGAGGTGGCAATTTCGGCCTTCGTCTGAAGAAAATTGCTTTTCCACCACACAGCTTCATTCTGCATCAGTAATCTAGGACGGATACAACAGAAGCCACAGCGAGGACCGACAGACATGCTCAGTGCCACGGAGAGCATCCTCCTTTCTGTTGTGATTAGTGAGTCAATCTTAGGCATTTTAGGGAATGGATTCATTGGAGCTGTGAACTGTATCGAATGTGTCAAGAATAAGAAGGTCTCTGTGATCAACTTTATTTTTATTGGTTTAGCTATTTCTAGAAGTTGTCTCATATGGACCATCATTACAGATGGATGTATACAGCTATTTTCTCCACGTTTGTATTTGACCGGCTCCCTAGTTGAGTACACCACTTATTCTTGGGTACTTAGCAATCAAACATGCACTTGGTTCACTACCAGCCTCACTATCTTCTATTTCCTGAGGATAGCCAATTTTTCCCACCCTGTATTTCTCTGGCTGAAGATAAAAATTCATTGGATTTTTTCTCTTCTGATGGGCTTCTTGCTTATTTCATTGTTACTTTCTTTCCCACAATTTGTCACAATTATTAGCAATCAAAAAATGAAAGATACAAACAGAACTGGACTGCTCTCAGTGAAAACAGATGAATACATTAGTATGCAGGTTCTGCTGAACTTGAGTACCATGATACCCTTTGCAATCACTTTAATTATGTGTTTCTTGGTGATCATGTCCCTATGGAGACACAAGAAGCAGATGCGCAGAGACCTCAGCACAGAGGCTCACGTGAAAGCAGTGAAAGTTTTGGTATCTTTTATCATCCTCTTTGTCTTGCACTTCATAGGCATTGTGATTGAAGCAACATGCTATGCTGTAGCAGAAAGCAAAGTGCTGCTTATTTTTGGTTTGCAAGCCACAATCACCTATCCTTGGGGTCATTCATTTATCTTAATTCTAGCCAACAGAAAGCTAAAGCAAACTGCTTTGAGGATACTGCGCCAATTAAAGGTCTGGGAGAAATGAGAAAATTGCAGAACCACCTAAGTAGGTTTACAGAGCGATGGGATGTTCCAGGAAAGAAATTCTTCAAATCTGTCTCCCTTGCATAGCACTCTTGCATGGACTTTTTTAACTGTTCCTTTGAACACCATTCAAGTCTTCCAATATTGTGTTTATGGAACCTCAAGGAATCTTGCCTTTCCATTAGATTTTAATCCCATATGCAACACAGTGGCTTGCTTTGCAGATCCTGCAAATTCTTCCAACATGGGCTCCAAAGGAAACTACTCAACCTGCAGATCATTCACTATAAAGATTGTGATGGACAGAAGCAGCACCAACATGAAAGTTAATTTTGCTTTCATGACTTCCCTGAAGTATTGACACCTGTTCTCCAAGAAGATCCAAAGGAGACAAAAAACCATGACGTACCCTGACATTTAGAATGTGATGTGAGGGATAGACCGGCAAGAGTGCTTCTTCTGGATGTGAATTTTCAATTCTTTCAAGAGAACTTTATTTTCACTATTGCTAACACCTGTTCATGCATTTATTTTTACTGGTGCATGTTTGATGAAGTAGCCATCTTCATGATACTCAGGAGGAAAAAAGCCTAGGGAATTGGTCTACATGGTTCATTGATGAAATGAATTTTCCTGCTATTAAAACCTAGCTGTTGGTGCAGCAAAGTAATGAAGTAATTATAAAGATTCTGCTCCAAATACAAACCCAAAGGCATGAGCCTGCTCACTGCACCAGTGACACAAAACACTGGAAGGAATCTGTGTGAAACACACAGTGTTTTACTCTGGCGTTTGGCACACGTGTTTGAAATATGCCAAACACATATTTCAAGTGTCGATTTTTACAAGGAATTTGGACGCAGCCAGAGAAAGTTCCATGTAAGAAAAGAAGCGTCATAAGAAATCACACCTGTGGCCGGTCGATAACCTAGTGGCTAAATCTTTGCCTTGCATCTTCCGGCATCCCATATGGATACAGGTTTATGTTCCAGCTGCTCACGTCCCATTCAGCTCCCTTCTTGTGACCTTGGAAAGCAGTCCAGAATGGCCCAAAGTCTTGGGACCTTGCACCCACGTGGGAGACATAGGAAGCTCCTGGCTTCCGGCTTGGGATCAGCTCAGCACCAGTCATTGTGGTCACCTGGGGAGTGAACTAGTGGAGAGATCTTTCTCTATCTCCTTTTCTCTGCATATCTGTCTTTCCAATAAAAAAGTTACATATTTTGGGCCCGGCGTGGTGGTGCAGTGGTTAAGGTCCTCGCCTTGCACGCCCGGGATCCCATATGGGCGCCGTTTTATCCCCGGCAGCTCTGCTTCCCTTCCAGCTCCCTGCCTGTGACCTGGGAAAGCAGTCGAGGACGGCCCAAAGCTTTGGGACCCTGCACCCGCGTGGGAGAGCCGGAAGAGGCTCCTGGTTTCGGATCGGCATAGCATCGGCCGTTGTGCTCACTTGGGGAGTGAATCATCGGACGGAAGATCTTCCTCTCAGTCTCTCCTCTCTGTATATCCGCCTTTCCAATGAAAAAAATAATAATAAAAACAAATCTTAAAAAAAAAGATACATATTTTTTAAAACAGCCAAAACCTTCATGCTCCAGTTAGCGTAGCAGCTAAAGTTCTCACCTTGAATACGCTGTGATCTCATATGGGCACCAGTTCTAATCCTGGCTGCACTGCTTCCCATGCAGCTCCCTGCTTGTGGCCTGGGAAAGCAGTTGAGGACGGCCCAAAGCCTTGGGACCCTGCACCCCTGTGGGAGACCTGGAAGAAGTTCCGGCCTCTTGGCTTTGGATCGGCTCAGCTCCGGCTGTTGCAGCCATATGGGAAATGAACCAGTTGAATGGAGGATCTTTCTCTCTGTATCGCCTTCTCTCTGTGTATCTGCCTTTCCAATAAAAATAAAATACTTGTTTTTCATTTATACATAATAAATTACTAGTGAGGTTAAGTATTTTCAAAGGGGGATTAGCCAGGGATGTACACTTTTTAGATACTTTTCATTTGTTGTCCTCTTTTATCATGTTCTTTATTTTGTGACTATTTTATACATTGACATTATATTGTATTTGTGCTATGATTTTCTCCTTTAATTTGTAGTTGAATGGATAACTTTACTTATAACTTTAACTTTATTTGGAAGATATGAAGTCAAATCTATTTTGCTTTTCTTTGTGATTTCATCTATGGTTATTACTTTTGTTTTGTTGTAAAATAATACTGTTTGTTGCACCAAAAATTGGAAAACAAAAAAAAGTGTGAGTGAAAGATTATTTACATTTAAAATGCTCAACTGTTGTTAACATGTCCCTGTATATATTTTAAGGTGGATTTCAAGATAGGCCAAATAGGTTTGTAATAGTTAACATTTACACTGTATAAAAATCTGTCTGGAATGAGGTCAGCATTGAGACATAGCTGGTAAAGCCGCTGTGATGCCTGCCTTCCCTGTGGGTTGGATTCAACTCCCAGCTGCTCCACTTTGCACCTACCTCCCTGCTAATGGCCTGGAAAAAACAATAGAATATGGCCCAAGTGGGCCCGTGACATAGACATGGGAAATCTGGATGAACCTTTGGCTTTGGCCTGGCTCCATGTTGGCCATCTGGAAAATGAGCTAGCAGATGGAAGATCTGTCTCTCTGTCTCTCTGTCTCTCTCCAATGCTGACTTACAAATAAATAAACATTTTAATCATTGTATTGTTATATGAACAGAATGATTTGTTCTTCTTATGTGAACAATGGGATTAGAGATAAATTTTGTATTCTTCTTTTAATGTTCTGCACATTTCTAATTTTTCTATGTAATAATTTATGTATCCAGGAAAAAACTAAATAAATAAGTGTATATGAAAATAATCCTAGTTTTTTTTCTCCCATGTTGAAAATTTTTTTTCCAGTTTTGACTCGAATGTCTTCTTGTTGTACGTACTAATTTTAATATTGACTTGGTCTTCAACTATTTTGTGACTATAATTATTTTTCCATTTTACTATTTATTTATTACATTTTAATTTTTTTATGGCTCCATAGGCTCAGGGTCGCCTTCCACCCTCCCCATTTTCTTTCCCCACACTGTTTTCCCCTATGTTATTACAGTAGTCCAGCCACATGGGGAGTGAACCAACAAATGGAAGATCTTTCTCTCTGTCCCTCATCTTTATAAATCTGCCTTTCCAATACAAATAAATTTTTAAAAATTTTAATTGAGGATTATTTGGAAGAGTAATTATCCAGCTCTATGAAAAAAAATTTTATAGTAACTCTTATATAGCTAAACTTTATTTACCTAAGTTTGGTTTGCCATCACAATTTCATGATATAAGACCTAAAATAAGGTTTTTTGTGACCTTAAATAAAACCCACTTCTGTGAATGATCCATGGTTTCTTGAATGGAATTCGAAAGTGACAAATTATATTAGGTGAAGTATATTATGTTAGATCAAGTATATTATGTTAGATGAAGTATATTAATGAAATACTTCTCTATGCTTGCTGAATGCATGCCAATTTAAAATAGATTATTAAATACGCACCTATAATTATGGCTCTTTTGTACAAGTTTATTTATTTACTGGAAAGCCAGAGATATGGCAGAGGAAAAATAAGCATCAGTACAAATTAAATAATATTATAAATCAATATTCTCCTCTTATAAGACAACACAAGCAAAAGAGGAAAGGAAAATATGGGTAAAACCAAGAACTGTATATATAAAATACATGAATTCTAAAAATATGAGAGTGGCCAAAAGTAGTTACAATTAGACAAATGTTGTATGAAAGGGATTATAAAAAAAAAAAAAAGAAGAAGAAACAGAAGCAGCCCAGAGATTGATAAGAAGACTGTGAAATTGGAAAGTAACAGCGAAAATGTGCATCTTATGTGTGGAGAATGTATGTTGAAAAACAAAAGATCTTTCTCTTACTTGCAGTAGGAGCTGCAAGAAACGGATTAAGTAGAGCTAGTAAGCAAAAGTCTCTTAACACCCATTTGGTTAAGTGTAATGGAGAAGATGAAGATATTAAAAACATCATTTAAATCAATTCTATTTGTAGGACCAGTTTGTCTCTGGCAAAGGGGAGCTTTTTAATTTGCATCATGAAAATGACTGTAAAGGCAGGCAAATAGTGATTCCAAGTTCATGCAACCCATTTAGAGGTTAATAATACCACTGTAGCACAAAAAAATAAACATAAAACAAGGAGGGGACATTCATTAAAAGGCTGTGATATTAACAGTCGCAAGACACTCGTATCTCATAAAAACCTTATTTGTTGTTATTTCACTGTACTGATTTTATTTTTTAAACTTTCAATAAAGTAAAAGACACTTGATTTTATGTCCAACAAAATAATCCTTCAAGTATAAAGCTGTCATCTATATTTTTAAGAAATGCAAACACTTATAATCTTTTCTTAGAAAAACTATTTGGAACTATATTTCTACATAGGATTTAAAAACATATATAAAGAGAAATCTTTGTTACATTCGGCTTTAGAATAAATACAGAGGAAATGTGAAGCTGAGGTTGGCAAACTGAACACACAGTTTAAAAGATAAGAGTATGTGCTAATGGTACAATTGGAAAGAAAGCCAAAATGGAAATTGTTTACTGGTTGTGCAATCTCACAGTTTGGAATCAAAGCACATAGTTCACTCATGACAAATCAAGTCATAGAGATTTGCAGTATGTGTGTGTGTGTGTGTGTGTGTGTGCATACACATTTGTCAAAATCATAAGAAAGGTAACTTTTTAAGAAAACCAGGTAGTAGAAAAGAATGTGAGAAACATAAGGAAAATATTATGATGTGTGTTAGTCTAGCTGGAAGAGGATAGCTACATCTCGAAGCAACAAGGGCATAAGGACATAAATTTTCAAATTAGTGAGGTCGGTGTTGACGGGCTTACAGAGAGAGATATCTCCTTAATAAAAGCAGATGGTGTGATATCAAATCAATATTCTATAACCTGCCAGCCACAACAAAAGAGTTAAACTTTATATTACCTTCCTTAGTCTAT